ACTAGGATAGATTAACTTAACCCTAGCCGCCAGCCCCTCATTCTATTTATAATTAACTTAAGTATGAGATATTACAAAGATGCCCTAAGTAGGGCGGCAACTCAACCTAAGTAATTACAACTCTTTAAAAAATAAAGACTAATGGGCCCAAGGCCCAACAACATCTTAATTTAAAAGGAAATAAACTAAACACAAGTCGGCCCACTCAACATGATTCAAAGCAATAACTAGTTACAATCCTTTTGGTTTGCAAGAAATAAAGGGGTGGTAGAATAGAGTGAAAGAGTTTTGTTGTTTGGCTAATATATCTACCAGTCAATAAAGATAAACTGACATCAAACAATGATCTACATCACACTACGAAGGAAACATAACCATGAACAAGAAATGAATCCTCTGTCAAGGCTAGAGCGAACATCAAGATTTTTTTTTATTATTTTTTGATCAGCAAGTGGACATCAAGATTTGATAGGAGTACAACTTTGATGGGAACTCTGTTTCTTGTTCACAGTTAAATTTCCTTCTTAATTTGTTGTGTATCACTCTTTGATGTGGGTTCTCGCATCAGTAAGTATGAACATATAAGCCAAAGTGAATGCAGGAGTGAAAGATCATGATTGTTGGATGGTAAAAATCTAGTCAAACTGATTCTCAGTCAAAGGTATCCGTGGCAGGAGAATCACTGATAGGACAGTTCAGAATGATAAGGATATTCTTCATTTATATTTCATTACTAGCAAGAAAATTAAAAATATAATAAAAAAATAAAAAACAGATGTGTTTATACTGAAATACAAAAAATTTTCTCCAAATAGGTTGAATGATATTTGTTGTAGTATATGTTTCTGTAGCTAAATGCATTCTGTTCCATTTATTTAATTTGTGCATAAACAGATAAATTCGGGTCTGCCAGACTACAATAATGAGCATTTGGGATGATGATGATGATGATGAAGTCAGGCTACAGATTAATCATGCTTTTCATGTTTTCCCTCTCTGCAAACAATTAACATGATCAAAGAAGTGTAAAAATTGTGTTTGTTAACATAGATACATACACTGATTTCGCTTTTTTTCTTTCTTTAATAAATTGCATGTTTTTTTAGTTTTTTTCTTTTTTTATTCTTGTTCCTTTTTCTCTTTAATGAATTGCATGTTATAACTTGGCAAATTAGAATTACGTTTTTAAGATATTTTCTTATGTCCCAAACAGGCACTGCAGTTGTGATAGTTATGTTGGTCACAACACTTCTCATGATTCTAATAATGTTACTGGTTTGGAGGTGCCATTGGATTCTTGTCCTGATCTTCACCGTTTTATCACTGGTTGTGGAGTGTACATATTTCTCTGCTGTACTTTTCAAGATTGATCAAGGTGGCTGGGTCCCACTTGTGATTGCAGCGGCCTTTCTTCTCATTATGTATGTTTGGCATTATGGAACGGTTAAGAGGTATGAATTCGAGATGCACAGTAGGGTCTCCATGGCCTGGATCCTTGGTCTGGGTCCCAGCCTTGGATTAGTCCGAGTGCCTGGGATTGGCCTGGTATACACTGAACTAGCAAGTGGTGTACCACACATTTTCTCACACTTCATCACCAATCTCCCTGCCATTCATTCTGTTGTTGTATTTGTGTGTGTGAAATACCTCCCCGTCTATACTGTTCCCATAGAAGAGAGGTTTCTGGTAAAACGAATTGGGCCAAAGAACTTCCACATGTTCAGATGTGTGGCAAGATATGGCTATAAAGATCTCCACAAGAAGGATGATGATTTTGAGAAGATGCTTTTCGATAGTCTTTTCTTATTTGTCCGGCTCGAGTCAATGATGGAGGGATGTTCAGACTCAGATGAGTACAGTTTGTATGGACAACAAACAGAGCGATCAAGAGACTTCTTACTGACCGAGAATGGCAACACAATCTCCTCCAATTTAGAGGCTACAATGTCATCGGTTGATTCAATTGTACCCATCAAATCTCCACAGCAGACAAACAGTGGGAGTGTTGTTAGGTCATCAGGGCAGACAAGCAGCCAGACTGAGGTGGATGAATTGGAATTCTTGAATAGTTGTAGAGGTGCTGGGGTGGTTCACATACTGGGGAACACAGTAGTAAGGGCAAGGAGAGAGTCCAAATTCATTAAGAAGATTGCTATTGATTACATATATGCATTTCTTAGGAGGATATGCAGGGAAAACAGTGTAATATTTAACATTCCTCATGAGAGCCTGTTGAATGTTGGCCAAATATTTTATGTATAGTTCTTTTAGATGTGATCAATAAGAAAATCATGTCAAGTTTTTTTCAGTCCCTCTCTCTCTCATATTTTTCAGTCACTTGTAGACTTGGTTTGTTTTACCATAAAATAGGTAAAAAAAATTCTTTCTATAATATTTAGGTAGTTTATGTGGGTTGCAGAAGAATAAAAAGGGGTAGCACAGATGGTAGCCTGATTCATAAGAATTTAAAATGTTATCCTTGCCACAAAGAGTCATGGTTCAAGGTATGGCTGTATGGATAAGTTACACTTGATACAAAGGCGCATCATATCAGTATCCAAATGGATTGGATAAGCACATGGCACGAGTGGAATGGACTTGGGTGCCAAACCATTCCACTCAACTAATGCCATTCTGCCCACATGGTATTGAATATTGATCGATAAGGCTTCATATCATGTGATGTAATGACTGGTTTTGCAGAATATGTATTTTTCAAGTTTTGTCTTCTTCTACAGCTTTTTTTTATCACTTCCAATTTTACATTCTAATCCAAGAATAAAAGGAGAAAAAAATGGAAGAAGAGAGAAAGAAGGGAGAAGGGAGGAAAAATGAGAGAAGGCACCAAAAATCTTTAGTTGGCGAAGCCGTAGTTATTTATACTTAAGGCGACGGTTTCCAAATAAAGAAATGAAAAAAGACAAAAATACCCCGTGCAACTACAGACTAGTAGAATTACAAGTATCTGTCTCAAAAGCTTGTGGGAGAGTCATCAGCCAAAACACCCGAGATTTTGCATTAAATGAACAAAAGTAATTAAAATTAAAAAGAAGGGGAGGTGAGTCTGCCTTTTTCTTCATTTGATCTTTTAATGCTCAGTTGATGCAAATATGTCGATTTTTTTTTTGGATAACTGTGATTTTAGGCTTCTATTAGTAGATTTATAGATTTTTCTCAAAAAAATAAGAAACTATGAAATTATAAAATAGTTTATTTTATACATTTTAAATGATTTTCATGGTAGGAATTAGGAAAGAACTTTAAGATGGATATATAAAATCCATTATCCAAAAATAATGTCAAAAATGATTTTTTTCTTAATTTTTTGTAATTTACAGAAATAAAAATAATGTAAACAAAAGTGACTACTAATTAAAAATTCTGTATTGCATATGATATGTTTCTTAGCAGTCCTAATGGTCCTAATAGATTTTTCAAGATAAGATAATTTCGTTTTTGTAAATATTAATTACTAATTTACTTTACAATGAATAAGTAAATTACAACATATTGATTAGGTATAGAAATAAGAATCATTTTTTTACAAAAATGACATTGTAGTTATTTTGAATTTAATTACAAAATTACAACAAGGGTTAGTGTCCATGAAGGCACTTAAAATAAAATATAATCGAAATCAAGTGTTAATTAAGCATATTAGCCAAGAGGATGCGGATGCGAATATGTTCAGGTTAACTCCTAAAGGATTTACAAATATTTTTACTTAGGATTTAACTATGATGTCAGAAAGACATGATGCTGGAAAACTTACAAGTTACAACCAATTAACCAGCATCATAAAAGTGGTAACCAATCTAGTGGGTTTTATCAAAATTCATAGGAGGTTTTGAGTAGTCAAACCCTTTTCGGTATCATGTCTTTTCTGACATTAGTTAAACCCACTTCCTTGTTTATGCCCACTTCAATGAGGTCAACTTTTGAAAATATACAGTCATCTAAAAAAGTATATTAGGGGCAATTGTTAGCAGATGAAACATTTGTGCCAGAAATTATACCCTGATTTGTAACTAAGGCTGCAGCCGAATTGAGCTCTAATTGATAGTTTGGGCTCAAGATTGATTAGGTTCAATTTGAGTTCAGCTCTGGTCGAGTTTGAATCAAATTCAAACCTCAAACCTTAGGAGTTCAATTAGTTATTCCACCTCGAGTTCAACCAATAAGAAGTTTAACTCAAAAGCTCACGAGCTTGGCTCGATTAATAAATACATATGTATATATTCTATAATATATTAACACATACATATGTATAATATATATTATTGATAATATATTTTTAAATGAGCTTTTTACAAAAAAAAAAATTAATAAAGTTTCATGAAATTGCAAATTGGGATATGTTATGAAATACATTAAGAAAACAGTGAACAAGACAAGAAAATCATTTTCTGACCAATTTGCCCCTTTTATAAATTTGAAAATCAAATTGAGAAAGAGGGCAGAAGTTACTGTTCATCGTCTTCCCTGGAACAAAAATAGTAAGCTAGATGCTCTGATCATATTGTGCTGGTTGCTGGTAAATCCCATAGCGACTAATGCTTTGATGGGTATTTTGGTTAAAACCATCGCCTTAATTTACATCATTCCGTCTTTTCTGAACTTCGACGTCTCCACAAGGGCCAGTAACAAACTGGTTCCCTTCCGTCTCCTGAGGCAGAAGTTAGCAGAAGCTAAAGGTGCGTATTATTTGGCTAGAATTTCTCTCGCTTGGCTAAAGGTGGGTATCATTTGGATGATGGATAACAATTAATAGAAGCTACCACATGTGTGTGAAGTATTGGCACAGTAGCAGACCGCAAACAGGATTTTCAGTCATTACTCATGGATGATAATGCATGAACACATGCGGTTGACCTGTGACTGTAAACATCACCGCTTTCCTCTCTTTAACCTGCTTTGCCATCACAGTCAGGAATTGGGATCTCCACTCGTGTTTTGACCTTTGACTGTGAGTGATATCATCCATCTGGTTCGACAACCGAGATTAAGACAGCAGCCACTTTGAGATTTACCAGCAATTCGCACAAGCATCTCTCTTACTCATTGTTTTCGGGAGGAAGATGACGAACAGTAACTTTCGCCCTCACTTTCGTAAATTTAAACATGAAAAAATTCCATTCAACTCTATTATAAACCTTACTCATGTCAAGCTTTGATTTCTACTTACTATGCTTTATATGATGAAGAATTTCTTGGATAATTAGAACATTGCCTGAGATCATCCTACCTGAAAGGAAAGATTCTACTAACGATAAACTTTAGTTTGCTTGCAATGATCTGCCTAATAATCTTATAAATTATATTATAGATACTAATTGGTCTATATTGGATTGCATCCTGTGGCACTTACACTTCTTATAATTCTAGTCCTAAAGAATTCCCTAACTACCTCTTTGGCATTTGTTCCCACAATGTTGAACAAGAAAGACTTTGAAAAGCCATATCCGGACCTGGAGCTTTCTTAGGCTCCACTTGGCACAGAGATTCCTCGATTTCCTCATCATCCTCCTCTCTAGTCATCTATTATCATCCTCCCCCTCCATCTCAACTGCTGATTGGTTTAAAACACTGGCATACTGACATTCAATTGGGGTCGCATGATCTGTGGTCACAGGAAATCTTTTCTCGGAACAAGCTTGAGCTTGTACGCGATGACCAGCTCGAATCATCATTGCCAAATTGCAAACAATGCTACATGGCACTGTGACTCGCGAAGGCTACTCCTTAACAACTTTCATTAAGCCAACTTTCTGTCGGAAGTTAAAGTTGTAGAACTCAACTCTGCATGCATTTGCGTGAGTTTATAATCCAAGCATATCTGTATCCATCCCGATACAATATACGATACTGTTAACTTTTGAACCTTAGTAAGACCCTGTTATAATCTAGCTCAATAAACTGAGTTTGTTTTCTCAACTGGATTATAGGTCTCAGAGAGGTAGTATACTTCAACCAATCAATCAAGGTTTTATTCCTTATTCAACTCAAATATGAAGGGATAGTCTATCGGAGATTTAAAAATAAAGTATTTAAGCATCTGCTCGAAAGTTAACCAAGAAAAAAAAAACACCAAGCAACTAACCCTCCATCATAGAAAGAAGAGTATCCATTGGCAACTACACCAGTCGGTCACCTACAAAAACAGGAAGCATCAAAGGAAAAATTACAATCAATTAAAATTTAACCCTTTGAAGAACTTGAAATTCATATGCTATTTGTCATACAATTTAACAAGCTAAAAATCCAAATATTATACATTTCGAATTTCTCCCCTATGTGGTAAGCATCTCCAAAATGTGAAAAATGACAGAATCCCAGGACACCCAGGACAATGGACCCAGATAGGTTATGTGATAAGCTCAGTTAAGTCCAAAGGTCCATTCTAATAGTTGATTGGTATAGAGTCCCCCTTCTTTAACAAAGTAAAAGGACACGTGCAACTACAAACTACAGTTTCAAAATAATAATAATGATGGCAATGATCTGAAGATTTGAAAAATGTAACCTTTTCAAAGACAACATTTTACACAGATGCATTTGTAGTCCCTGTTTAATTTGCTTCTAACCAAAATGAATAATATGGCAGGAAAAAATACAGATAATTTTTCTACTCACCATTATTTGCTTGTAGAATTTAACAAATGTAAATATTCACATGGACGTGATAAAAAGGTATCATCCTGACTACTCAGAATTTAAAGTCATATGAGTACCTCTACGAAGAAACTAATTGATTTAGGAGAACATATTTGACTTGGATGCTATAAATTCTAGGTTAAGTGACAGTGTATCAAAACTAGGACTTCTCAAAAAAAAAGAATAAGACTAAGCCATATAGAAGACTCACAACTACTTAACTAGTGGACCACATCAACACCACATAGGCATTGGCGTTTATTGCATATGAAGCAAAATGAAATAACTGTTTGGTTTTACCGTTTATCAAATAGACGGTAAAAAACTGAAACGCTTTGATTTCTGTGCATGGGGCATTTGGGGAAACGCCAAATTCTTGTTTCCCCAACATCCCAGCATTTCTTAAAACCAAATGCTGATGTGTCACACTTTAATGGGTATTAATCTGAGGTGGAGAGTAAAAAACGTTTAGAGTAAAGCCCAACCAAACAACAAAAACAGGAAACGTTTAAAGTGAAAAAATATAAATAAACGTTTAAAGTGAAAAGGTACAAATAAATGGCCACCCATAAACGTAAATGGAACCAAACACTCTCCTAGTAATATTCTTCTTCTCGCCTTGAGTTTCAGTGGTTTACAAATCACTGAAAATATTAGCTTACAAAGCTTGTCTCTTTGGGCAATTTGAGAGATCAATAGTCATGCAACCTACCTAATAAGTAACTAGCTACAAAAATATGCTTTTTTGGAATTATATTACAAAAAAAGTCTTAAAGAACAAAAAATTAGTCATTTTGGTTCAAATGCAACCACTAGAAATCTATAAAAAAAAAGACAGGACAGCTTCCTTCAATGCAACCCAAGCCAATTAAGAGTTCTCCCTCACCATACAGTGAGGATAGATTTACCAAATAAGGATACTTCTTGCAAAAACAACCAGAAACATTAAGGACATTTTTATATTAACTATTATTTATAATGCATAAGTACCTGATCATACCAAATGCCTTCTTACAACTGTCTTCAGTAAAAATGGGGCAAATTACAAATAAGGGTATTTTGTCAAATAAGGTTCCAGAAATTCAAAGGCACATACATTTTAAAGGAGTATACATATAGATAGATGGTATATAAAGTCAAAAAAAAAATGTAACGAAGTTCCCCAACTAGACAACCAATCCAGATAAAAACAAAATGAGTGTTGTATAGTTGGCGACTTGAAATTATTTGGTCAACTGCATCTAATGGCAGAGTTGGAGAATCAGAGCACATTAGCTTCAGACTGCTTTATTTCAGTTGATGCATAGTCCTATGATATTCATTTCAGCTTTTCTTCAAGTTTGACCAGATACGATCCATATAGTATATTGCATTAAGCAAATTTAAAATATTTTTCTGCATATTCGCGCCCTGTGTTTAACAAATGTCCATTGTTTTGACATTTAATATGCAATCCCCTACCTAATAATTCAGTAGTTTAGCAAATCCATATAATAAACTAAAAGGATATGAACTAACCTAAATAGAAGGGTAGGCTGGGATTTTAAGAATATTTCAAGGGAAAAAAAAGGATGTAAAGTTTCTCTACTGAGAAAATGACATGAAAATTTCTGAAAGAATGTAAAAGAACATGAATCTCTAACCAAAAGCAAATATGGACTAGAAATGATTGGGATTTCAGCAACATATGAAGATACTCCCTTTAAAACCCTTGAAACTTTTAGTGCCACCTCTTCCATATCCTTCTTTTATGAAATATGATGTGGGTAAGACTTTATTACGGTATTCAGGTAGGGGAATTCCTAAAAGAACTAGAATCCCTCAGCTCTATCGTGTATCAGCAATCCTCAAAAGTTCCAGCACTTGTGCTACAATATCATCCTTAGGCCTTTCTTGAAATTTCGGTGTTCCAAGGGGTCTTCAAAAGGCTAAATTGGTATATTTTATCCTACTCTTAAATGAAGTCTTCTACCCCTCTGGCCAAGATGAATGACAGAGGCCATCTTAGGCAAAACTCCTCCCTTTAATTTTTTTCGACAGCCATGAGGTCACTATGCAAATGCCTTCCCATTGAAGGCCATTTGGAGGTCAGAAGCTCCTCCAAAAGTCAGTGGTTGGACAAGAAGTGTCAGAAAATAAATCATCATTTAAGCCTTGTCCCAACCGTATGGGATCAGCTGCATGAATCCTGTTTTGCCATTGTGTTCTTGATGCAGAACAGCAAAGAATTTTAAAGAGGGAGATATAATAGGAATCACTCCTAGAGGGTTTAGGCCTCACCCCAAAACGCTGGAAGCAGCACACATCCACATAAGGAAACAAACTTCTGTATTTTGTTCAGTCTTGGGAAAAAAACAAGACAACATATTTATAACCTAAAACAGCAATTGATTGTTTCTAACCAGGAATCCTACTCTTGCTTGGCTTAGGAGTACAGAACACTCAGTGTTTTAAAAGCGCAAGGTGCACAATTTAAAAAAAAAAAAAAAACTAAAAATTCAAAAAAATGCAAAAAATCAAAAAATTATAAAACATAATATTAATAAAAATATAAACTTAAGTTTTAAAATAAATGTTTTAAAAAACTTATTATCTAAAATTAAAATACATAAATATAATATGTAAAGCATATTCATATGAGAATTTAAAAATGAAATCAAGCATATAAAACCCACAATCTCTTTTTTTTCTCAATTGCATCAAGTAGCTAATGTAACATATTACATTCCCAATTCTACGAGCCGCCTTTGTGCCACGCCCCTCGAGGCAAGCCCAAACAAGTCCATGTTAGGGTCTTAAATKCTTAGTTTTCACAYAAAAARTAATAATTKTATAGTTTTAATTGCTTTTAAGAAGATATTTTATTAGGATGAATGAATGGACAACATTACCAAATAGGGGATTCTTGAAGCTTCGACAAGCAATTAAAACTATAAAATTATTAATTTTTGTGTGAAAACTAAGAATTTAAGACCCTAACATGGACTTGTTTGGGCTGACCTCGAGGGGCGTGGCACGGGGGTCCAGGGGCTCTGCCCCTGGCCCAGCCGCCAGGCTCAAAAAAAAAAAAAGGAAAAGGTGACAAATTTTCAAAAGGCGCACGCTTGGGCTAAGGCACAAGACGCACCAGGTGCACCAGGCGCACGCCTAAGCACACCAAGCGTGCACCTTTTGAATGGGCTGCGCCTAGGACCTGGGCGAGGCGCCAACCCTAAAATGCGCCTCGCCTATGCGCCTAGGCGCGCCTTTTAAATCACTAAGAACACTAATTTAAACTGAAAACAATGACTTCTAAAAACAATATACCTAAGATAACCTTGCTGTAAAACACTCTCCTAACACATTGTTATTACTTAAATTGATTACTAACTCAAAACACCCAGCATTTATTCAAATTCCCAGCTAGAATCTTCTCCATCATTGTGCCAAATAAGAACCAAAGCCTTACAATCGTTGGGCACTTTTCCTCTCTACAAGTCTTCAAGTTTGCTTTATGATCCCTATCAGTTATGTTCAGTGGCATATTAATCGTTAAATTATGAACACTTGAATCATTTATTATCGCTTCCAAGTCCTTTTCAGTCTACCCCTAGCTCTTCTAGCCCTTTCAACTTGTAACAGATCACTTTTTTCTAACACTTTTTTAGATGGTCTTCTATGTACACAACTAAACCATCTCGGCAAATAAATAATACTTGCAATTTGATGTTGCACAGGTATTGATGAAAAAAATAATGATGCGCAGGCAGTGACTTAAAAGTTGTGCCTAGGCACACAGGCAAGGCACATGTTAGAGTAGGCACCTCGCCCAGGTCCTAGGCGCAGCCCTTTCAAAAGGCACACGCCTAGTGCACCTTGCGCCTCAGCTCAGGCGTGCACCTTTTGAAAATTTGACACTTTTTTGCTTTTTCTATGTCTAGTGGCTGGGCCGGGGGCTCTGCCCCCAGACCCCCGTGCCACACCCCTCAAGGCAGCCCAAACAAGTCCACATTAGGTCTTAAATTCTTAGTTCTCACACAAAAAATAATGATTTTATAGTTTTAATTGCTTTTTAAGAAGATATTTTATTAGGATGAATGAATGAACAACATTACCAAATAGGGGGTTCTCGAAGCTTCGGTGAGCGAGTGAAGCATTAATAATGCAGCAAGGACTTATTGATTCAATTAAACCACCTTTTTGTTCATTGCACGGTAGAAACTTTAGTTTTTAATCATTTCTTGGAGTTAAGCATTAAAAATGCAGCAAGGAGTTGGCAAAATGACAATTTTTTGAATTCAAGTTGATTTAGCCTCCAAGGGTATTTTCAACATTGTACGTGCAGTCCAGCCTGTTAATTTGAGTTGTCTAGTCATAGTTTAGTCATGTTTAAATTTTCAGTCATTGGTTAAGCAGTTAAAGAGTTATTTAGTTTTCTTTAAGTTGGTTTAACTTATAAGTGGCAGAATTGTAATTTTGAGTTTTCCTAATTTGGTAAGTAGCTTGACTGACCCGTTACAGTCTATATATGTGTAAAAGTTGCAACATGTGGGCAATGAATGTTGGATATTATTTTCTGCTTGTGTGGCTTGTTTTGATTGATGCCCAAGCCCTAGAGTCATTCTAAAAACCCTAGGAGTGAGTCCTAGGCTTCACTTCTTTCTTTCTCTCTTCTCTTGTCATCTATCTCAAATTTTTGAGCTCCACCACCATCCGCCATCAAAAAACCTGGGAAAATACAATCAAAAGCAAACAATCATCGTCATCTAGAGGACTGAGCCTAAACACGGGTCAGTCCCCTCTCCATTCCCTTCAGGTCTCAGACCTTTCTAGAGAGAAAGAAACTTGTCTATCTAAATCTTTTACAAAACCTTGGTGAAAACCAGATCAGATTTAGCCATCCGGCATCCCACATATCTAAGGCTCATTATCATCTCATTAAAACATTTTTCAAAATTTCCCACTAAAATCCTAGTTCTTGAACATTTATAATTTTGAGAGCTTGTCTTTTTCTGCCCAACCTTCTCAAAACCTGTCCAAATGCAATCCCCTGCTTTGGCTCACTCACCTAATCCCTCCTGTAACAATTTAAAGAAATTCCATTCCAAAATTAAAATATTAAAACTTCCCTATTTTCTCTCTCTAGCTTCCTAATCACTTGATACAGTCGTATACCCTACACAAACCCTCATTCCCCCTTCTCTAGACCTGCCTCTAGCCCTTCAACCCCAAACCTTGGACCCTTCTCTAGAGTCTAGACCTAACCTCCCGTTTGGCCTATTTTAGATGACATGTACAGGATATGTGGAAGCTCAATCTCCTTTCATTTTGTTAAAAGGGAGGCAAATGTGCTGGCTCACCTTTTGGCTTCTTGGGGCCAGTGTGGCCAAGTTTCTACCTTTTGGAATCCCCCAGATTTCCTTCAAGACGCTCTGAACTTTGATCTAGCAGCTGGAAGCTTCCACCCTAGTGTTTTGTCCTTGCTTAGTTTCTTTGCGGTAAAATCCAAAGAAGTTAGGATATGGCATCCATGTGGTGTAAAGCAAGAAATGAAGGTGTCTTTTAAGACAAACTTCGGTAAAATAAAAAATGTTGACAAAGGTCGGGCTGATCTGACCTTCAAAAGGTATGTTGGTTGATGTTATAATTGAACATTTGAACTGATAGCTACCACAGGCACAGTTATCAAAGTGATCAATACTTCGTTAATTTTAGCTTATTTCTCTATCTTTTTTTATAGGTACCTTATTTCCCCAGTTGAAGTAACGACTACAGAACATTACAAGTCAATCTAAAACGAACAGATTAAACATTAAAAGTAGAATAAAACAACGTTACATAGTTTATAATCAAACTAAGGGTGGGAACCTTATTTTTTAAGCTTGAAGATGTGAGAAAAGCATCTATGCATTTACATGTGTGATAAATAAACAATCAAAGGAACAAGTTACTATGTTGACTGCAGCAAATACATAAAGGAATGCATGTTCATGTGTGTAATATGCGAAGAGAGACAGAAGGGACATCCCAATTGAAAAGATAGGGGTGAGTGATTAGAGAGAAAAAGAGGGAAAAAAAAGTGCAAATAGAGGACTGACTGACAGAGAGAAGCAGATGATGCTCTATTTTTATTAAAATAGAGCTGCATTACACAATATGATATAGCTGCACTACACCTAAAATTTGTAAACCCCCATTGTAAAAACGCAAAAGCAAGGTGCAAGATGACCCTAAAAATAGCTTATAACCTGGGTTCCAACATGATAAAAATGATAACCATCAAGGTGCAAGAAAACCCCCTAAAAAGCCTTGTTACCTAGGTGCCACTGCCACCTTGACAAAATTGATTGATACTAGCAATATTTTCTCTAGCCATGAAAGAAGTTTCATCGAAATGGTCCTCCAATCTCAGGTAGCATACAACATAATTTCAATAGATGCTTGCTGGGAAATCCAGGTAAGTCCTTTTTCTTTACCCTACCCCCATTCCCCAGAAATATGCAATGTAGCTGTTACACTCATGTGCATGGTGGGAAAAGATGCAGTATCACTTACAGAACAATGCAATCAAATAAAAAGCAGTTCCAAGAAGCACACATTCTGTTCTATATATACGAGTTAGAATACCTCAACAAAACCTTTTAGTTCCACTGGCCTGCTTACCATCACTTGCATCCAGTGTTAAACTACTGAACTAACAAAGTAATTAGTTTTCTTCAATAAATTTCATTTGCATATTGTTATATCATGTAGCACTGGTCCACCATCAAAGAACACGTTAACTTATTTACTTCAATACATTCATTTTTTATTGGAACTGGCGTTTCACTACATAATAAAACAAAGAGAAAATTGTCACCACCAATAAATGCAACAAAAAGAAGCAATCCAACAAAGAGAGAAAGAAGTGACTACCAAGGTTCAAAATTCAAATGTATTATTTCATAGCAAAATGAGACGTTTAATGCAAAAAAAAAAAAAGAAAGAAAGAAAAACATATCTAACTAGTGTGAATGGAAAAGTTCTTTAACAGCACTACTTGTTACTTTTTAGTTTTTACCAAAATCAAACATTGAGTGAAAAACAAACATCATCCTCACGTCCACATTATAATAATCAAAAACAATATGCGAGAGAGAGAGAGAGAGTCCACATCACATTGCCCTAGAGTCCTAGACAAAATTTTTCACCGACCACAAGAACATGGATTTACGACGAAACCCTAATAATTGTAGATCTGATATCACAATAACAAAGTAAGGATAGAAAAACTGCAGATATCATCAAAGTTTAGGGCTTGGAGGGAAAATACCATCAAAAATCTGGAAGCGCACAACTAAAAATAACGGGAGGAACAAAAAAAGTTACAAAATCGTAAGATAAAAACATATATCAGCCTCTAGGATTTGCAAGAAAAAGTTACAAGATCGTAAAATAAATACATATATCAGCCTCTAGGGTTTGCGATTTATAAAGATTAGGAGATATTTGACTATGTACCTCTTGTGCCTCTGGACAAAAGGAGAGTTCTTAGCGTCCTCCTCTGATCAATACAAAGATGATCAAATTACGAGCTGAGGAAAAAAAACGATGAATAAAATATGAATAAAATGGATAAAGGAAAAAGAAAATACCGGTGAGTCCAAGAGAAAGCTTGGTGATGACGGTGCCGGTGATGGCGAATCCGACTAAAAATGGCCAGTTCCGGCTCCATTCTCGCCTGAAAAACACGGACCACGGATCAAATTTCGGCATCTTCTCTCTCGTCTTCCTTCTCTCGCTATCC